CACTTTTTACTAATTTTATCTCAAATTCCCCTTGTTGGATGGATTTATCAATATACCCCGAATGCTAAGCACAGGTGACAGAGTGAAAAATGAATCAGCTAAAGAATAGCCACTTGGGCTGTGTATCTGCTTTTTTGACTCCCGCACCAGTGGGGGCAGGTTGAGATTGGCCGACGGGCTTATAAAAGTGGTTCGCAAATGCAAGCTAAACTACTCGTAGTGAATAAAATCCAGTCTTCACGAATATGAAATTGCTAATTCTTCTGCAATATTGATTGATTTAAAAATTTTGAATACAATTCACGAATTTACTGAATAAAGAATGAATAAATTATTTAGTCTATGAATAAAGGAATAAATAAATGTATGTGAACTGCCGCAAATATTGAATTCATTCAACTATTTTCTCGCTAATTCTGAAAAATTCGGCAAATTTTAATTTTGCATTGGTTATGAACCCACCTCAGCGTATAAATTCCAATGGTTGTGTACGCAACGGAAAACAGGAACCACGTCTGCAACCAGAAGTACTGCAAGACGTTGACGGTTTTCGTGAACACTTCAAAAGTCAAGAAGGCGATGAAAGCGGTGATGTTGACCATATCGGAATTTCCTTCGTCCGACCAAGCGCTGTAGAGATACTGGGCAGAGCGAGGTTTCATCAAGTAGACCAGAATGAAAAGTATGGTAAAAATGAGATTGGCGAAAATTCCGTATCGAACAAGGAAAATGGCGATCTTTTCGTTCAGTAATTTCCGTTTCTGCGATAGACGAGACGGCATTTCTGAAAGTAATGTACAACATTTTTACATATTCTACTTACATACTTGTTAGAAAAGGATTAAACCTAACTAACAATGGAGGTCGCCCAACGTATGATCACAGATTTGGAGACCAAACTGGTGTCAATCGGTTAGAAAGTTGATTAGCAAGAAACTTGCAAATGACACTATCTGCCAATCCTCAGATTTGGCGGAGATAAATATTTGCATAAAAACTTTGTATTAAAAAGAGGATAAAATGCGCCCCGAAGTTGGCAAATTTTACACTTGCCAAATTTACTGCGTATTTGTTCTTTTTCGGGTGCAAACTATCGCCGCCAAACTTGCGCATTGGCAGATTGTGCCTTTTGCAGCTTTCCTACTAATTACATAAATTTGTCACTGATTGACACTAATTATGTCTAAATCTGTGAGCATACTTTGGGAGACCCTATTGTATTGGTAAGTTGATTCAACTATCATTAAGGATCTTAATTTAATTTATCTATGGATTTTACTATTGGAATACTACAGAAATATATTTTTACGAGTGCATACATACATACAGCGCAAACTTTCCAAGTCACAAATTCTTATACGGAAATGATATTTTGTTAATGTCTATAATCATGCAAACTCACTAATTTAAATTGTAAGAATGATAATTACGTCTCAAATGGGCATCAAATTCAGTCATCCATCTGAAAAAGGTCGTCATCTCGTTCCTTTTCAAGTAGCAGGCCAGCACCCCGTCGAAACTGACGTAATATGCGGGGGCCAAAAATCCTAGCCAGAAAATATCCATGACTTCCAAACTTAAAACTTTATCGTGTAGTTGATACAAATTATGTCCCGTGTAAAGGAGGCTGTGCGCAAGAAATAGTATTGTGAAAAATTTGCTTGTCTGGGATTTCGTTACTGTTAAAAGGTTTCTTTCTCCGTCCCAGGAGAAGGGAAACATTTGCGTTGATCTGCTAAATTTTATGGCGGGAGGAATGATTTCAAAAATTGTAGGGGAAAACATTGCTGTTTTCTAGGAGAGAGCAAATTTTGGATTCGTTATGGTCCTAAAAGGATTAAGTTATAACTGCTGGTCAATTTATAGATTCGCAATTTCTGCATTTCAAGGTGCATCCCTATCAATTTGTCATAGATAAATACGGCAATTAAGATAATTAACGAGATTGGAGTTCGTGCATGCAAAACAGTGTTTACTTATTGCAAATTTCACGCACACGCTTAAAAATAATGTTACTATTTTGAAAATTAATACACTGTAATGCATCCGGTAGAGTCACATATTAATGGTATTGATTGATTTGGTAATAATTCTCTACCGGATTGGTTATAGTTTGATTCTGACTGGTAAAGATTTCATTGCCAAGGCATTAACGCAGTAACGATTGATATTACCGATGCCAGTAGATTCATATTTGTACTCCGCTCGGTAATGATTGAATAATGGATGCCTAAGAAAACTAAGAATGTATACACTCTGATTTCTAAATTAGGTAAACTAAACTAAATCCATTACCAATGTGATAGAAAGTTATTACCAATCAATATCACCATTTTTAACAGTGTATGCAAATATTTAGATAGTACCTATTATTATCAATCATCTCTGCAGTTTATTGCCCGACAGAGACTGGCGGATTAAAGATATTGGGATTAAGGATTGAGATTGAGGATTAAATTTAAAATCTTGGGATTGAGATTGGGAATTAAGGATTAATTTTTCAAATTTTGGGATTAAGGATTGGGATTAGGGATTGAATTTAATCTGGGATTAGGATTGACACGGGATTAAATTTAGGGGTTACCTGGTTTGGAAATTAATTTACATAGTCGTGGATTAATTGTTTGCATTAAGGTGCATTATTATGCCAGATTTTTAAATTAATTAAACAAATCCCTGAACTTCTGAAAATGAAATATTTTGATCATTTTGCATACAAAATTAGATCGCTTCTGAATACAATTTCTAAGTCGCAATTAAATATATTTTGTGCTAAAAATTATATAGGGGAAGAATTCTAATTTTATTCTTGGTACTATTTTAACGAACAGCATCGATCATAGTTTGGTTAGAGTACTCACATTTCTTTATAAGCTCACACAAAATTTGAACATTGTGCATTGAGTTGAGGATACCGCGATACGAGTAGTTTTGCAAAATATTGTGAAGTATTTTTAAATGTTTGATAAAAATGAACGAAATGCAATCAATTTTCGAAAGGGGAGCGATCTCAAGAGAAGTTTGTTTTTCGAGTTTTTAGCAGAGATCCGTGATTAATTAATCGTGATTAACGGATTAAGGATTGGGATTAAGGATTAATAATCCTTAATGCTTAATCCCAACAAAAAAATGTGTGAAATCAATCCTTAATCCTTAATCCCGACGAAATATTTTTGCTCCATTAATCCTTAATGCTTAATCCCGACGAAGCATGCCCAAATTATTAATCCTTAATCGTGATTAGGATTAATTCTCACGAGAGATTAATACTGCGAATGAGCAAGGTAACAGTTATTCTCAACCATGTGATATTTTTCCATTCTTTCTACTTTCCTCTCCTGAAATTATCTAGCATGCATTATATTTCTTAACTTTATATTGTTGCTTCCATAAAAGTACTGATTCAATCGTTAATCATGGCGAACAGGAATCTAACTGAACTGAAAAGTTTGCCATTCGTTTTGACCGGCACATTTTTTGATGTCGAAGAACTTGACAAGTCTTGTGGCTCTGTAAAGGCCAGGGGCATAGCTTGTGCACCAAAACTTGCCGTAATTGGCGGGGATATTATTCCAACATTGATTTTTATTACGTACTTAACGCAACACTACTATATATTGCACGTTTTGTAAGTATTTGAGATTTGACACATTAATATCGCTGTGTCGATAATTCTGTGCAGGAAAATAACAATTATATTAATCCTTAATCATGAATTAATCAGGATTAATTAATCCTTAATCCTTAATCCCGAATTCAAAAGCATTGTGAATTAATCCTTAATCCTTAATCCCAGCAAATTGAATTATTTAATTAATCCTGGACTAATCTAATCCCGGAATAACATTAATCCTTAATCCTTAATCCCACAAAAAAATTCATTAATCACGGATCTCTGGTTTTTAGTCAATGCAAATTTAATCCCACTTTAATCCCACCTTTGGATTAAAGTTGACAGAGTTGGATTGGGGATTAGGGATTAAGGATTAAAATTCAAAAACTCGGGATTAAGGATTGAGATTAAGGATTAATTAATCCCCAATCCCAATCTCAATCCCCAATCCTTAATCCGGGATTGACCAGTCTCTGTTGCCCGATAGGCAATTTTGATAATTACATACCTATGCAGTTCCATAGCTGTTGAGTGATGCAATTTGATACAGGAAGTACCAATTTCTTAACTTTATATCTACTTCCAAACCACACAAATATACAAAAGGGTGAAACTTGAGGATTGAGTAATAAAGTCTATTAAATGGTATCATCAAACGTCAATAACTTTTGTTCCGGCACGCTCATAGAGGTCGAGTTATTTTTGTAGGAAGTTTATTTGTGGGATCGAGTTTTTATGTACATAAGCTGGATATGCAAAAAGTTACGAAGTGGGTGTTTTATTTATGCAGGTTATTTTCCCATGGGACTTGCTACATAGTAATGTCCATGGAGATTATTATCATACGTTAAGACGTTTATGTATTAAATAACGTTTACGTAAAGGTTAGAGCTCAGCGGATATCATAGATATTGGAGGTTGGAGGACGAGAACTTTTCATGGATACATATGGATACTTGGATAGTGAAGGACGAGATTTTGGCCCTGATATCCGGATATTTAGAGGTTTTCGCCCGACATCCGCCGAGCTCTGGGTCAGGGGCAGTTCGCAAACTTCGTAATGCAATTTTTTACACTCACTCACCCAGTTTCAATATGTCAAATGTGTAGGCGCGATATCATTTAGCTGTGACCACCCCCTCACCCCTTTTTGCGTTATGAAGTATACGAACGCCCCCTTACCAGGAAATAATCCATCCAGACCCACACGATCACATCAAGATGACGTGATACATATGTGAATGAAACGTGTTATGCATTAAACAATTACTATCTACAATAAGTGGTCAATTCTAATTATGACAATGTCAACATACACAAGTGGTTAATGTGATAATTACGCTTTAGAAAGAGAGGTGAAATAATTATGTATATGTCCAGAAAAACATGTTACATCCAATGACTTAATCATATGGTTATGTGTCAATACTTAGCTAATTTTACTTAACTATATCCATTGCTTCGTTTTACTTTATTTCTACCTGACCTCCATCACTTACACGGGAAATGTGACTAACAAGGTCAAAAATACACTCGATAATTGGACAAAGTAGTCGTTCAATGCGTTATAGCTCATCGATCGAATATTTCCCACGCGAATTCCGAAAGGTCGGATTGATTTCACTTCCCTGTTTCGTAACTTCTTATCTCCCGGAGAAAGTGAGAGGTCCACGTGGGTGGCCAATTTTACGCAAAGTGCTCCACTCTTGTGCGAAACCTGGCCAGAAATGTGCAGATAGAGAAAGGTCGTGGCCATTATGGAGAAAACCAAGGCGACGATGATGACCTGTTCGGGCAAGGTGATCCGGTCAAAAAGTCGGGTCAGGACGAATCCCGACGAAATTATGCAAACACCGTTGAACGTGTATTTAACCGAAGAATTGTTTATTGGGTAGCAATTGTTGTGCTGAAAATTGATGAGGGAGAGACAGCGGTAGTAGGTGACACGGGGATTTGTCGAATTGCTGAAAATTAAGGATGTGAATTAAGTTCGAGTAGATTTACCGTATTTGCGGCATTCTCTGTGCGCAAGCGTGCGAAAATATATTCATGCAAATTAGCTGACTATGTATGAAGATACTAATTATGGTTGTATGCAGTGGAATTATGTACTCGCATCATCTCGATTTTGAATTAAGAACCCACCTCAACGTATAAATTCCAATGGTTGTGTACGCCACGGAAAACAGGAACCACGTTTGCAACCAGAAGTACTGCAAGACGTTGACGATTTTTGTGTACACTTCAAAAGTGAAGAATATGAAGAATACTGTGATATTGGCCATGTCGGATTTTCCTTCGTCCGACCAAGCGCTGTAGAGATACTGGGCAGATCCTGGTTTCATCAAGTAGACCGAAATGAAAAGCACGGTGAAACTGAGATTGGCGAAAATTCCGTATTGAACTAGAAAAATGGCGATCTTTTCGTGTAGTAATTTCCGTTTTTGCGAGAGACGAGACGGCATTTCTGAAAAATGTGTGTGATGTGTAAGTAATATTTGTTGTACTTGTTAGAAAAGGATGGAAGTTTATTAAAACACAATTTTTGAAATGAGAAAACACTCTTAAAAATAATGTTACTCTTTTGAAAAGGAAATCGCTTTTAAATTCTATATTGTGTGAGTAAACTCTACACTCAAAATAACCTGGTGTCTATATGTGCGGTGTTGTCACATATAGACACCACGCGGTGTTAATGAGTGACTTCACCGCGCTGGATTGACACCAGATTATTTTGAGTGTACTAATGTAGACTGTGGTGGAGCCCTTGGCATGATAATTATTTGTAAATTTCATGATTTATTTATTTATTTTATGTAGGATTATGTATGAAAATTAGTCTTAAATTTCCCCAATATTTGAGTGAAGGGGGGTAAAAACGTTGGGGGATTTTGTGTGTGGAAAGGAAGGCGAGCACGGTGTGTGCAGTTTTACTTGCGTGCCAGCATCAGAGTAGAGAAGGTGTGTTAGTTAAGTTTTGGTATGTTACCAGTAAAAATTAATTGTATTAATTCCCGTTAATTTGTGTTAATAAATTTGCTACGAAAGATAAACTCCAGTTCGTCATTACGCCTGTGGCACTGTTATTTCATAAGGATTTGGCAGATAGACAGCTTGGAGCAGATCATTTTAGGCAGTTATTGATAGGGAATTAAAATCGAAAGCTATTATGGACAGTTGGCGTTCGGTTCACCAAATTTGAGTGTGAATTTACAAAAGCTATAGTGAGAAATAACTAGCTAGGACGTCGCCCCATAATATTATGGTCTCGCGAACCGGATTATCAGTTCTAGTGATAATTAATCGGTCTCAAGATTTGGAAGTCAACCCTGTGGGTCAAGTTCCTGATCACCTCGTCCCCTTCCGTTTGGGTTAAACGGCTGCATTATAGGTTTGCTACTGCCTTGATGGTAGCAACCTGAGGTGATATATTTTCAATTTGTATTGTTTCTTGGAGTCGTGCTGCCGCTACCGCTGGATTAATCGTTGGTGTTAATCTGTGGTTAACAAATTATTAATTGTTCTCCTTTGTTGGGTTTGTTGATCCCGAGATGCCGGTGACCAGGAGCCAAGCAGAGGGAGGAGAACCAGCAGTGGATAAGCAGCAGGAGGACAAAAATGGATCGTTCTTCGGCCGACTGGGTGGATTCTTCGCTGGAGCGCCGATCAGATCACCGGATGGAAGTGTGTCGAGTGGTTCAGGAAGTGTGAAATCTGCGATTGCCAGAAGGAACGCTGCTCTCGCCCAAGTCGCCGGATTCAAGGAAGAGAAGAAACAGCAAGTTTATCAATGTGAATTGGAGTTGAACGATTTAGAAGCCGACTTGTGTGAAATGGAAGATAAGTTGGACACTGCGAACAAGAAGTTAGTTGCACTTGATCCATGCGCACAAGATGAAGAGTCGACAGCTCTGAAGGAGGAATGTCAACAATTGAAGAAAAGCATTCGTTTGAAGACTCTTCAAGTTCAACGAAAGAAAATAAAACTCAGAAAGATCCAAGATGAGATTGAGGAGTTACCTGAACAAAAGAAGCTGCTCGAAAGTGTTCTGGATGAGATGGAAGAGCAAACGTTGTCTGATGAAGACGATCAAGCAGAAGTTAGGAAGGAGTGGGCGGAGAAAAGGCTGTCACTACCTTCAGTTAGCAAAAGTTATGACGACTTGGTTCAACGCTTCACTCAACTGCAGCAACCTTTCCGAATTGATGAGGAAGTGAAAGCCAGTCGAGAAATGGAGAAAAGCTTAGAATCCAAGGAGAAAGGTGATCATCAAGATGGAGATAGTAATAAAGATCCAATGGCAGAAGCATTAAAATCAATTGCGTCGATTCTGAAAACTCAGCAAGTTCAACAGTTAACTTCTTCTAGTTCGACAGAGAAGTTTATTGCTCGTCAGTCGCACTCTAAAGATCTTCCGTTCTTCAGTGGCAAGCCCGAGGAGTGGCCTAGCTTCATAAGTGATTTTAAGAGGACGACGGAAGTCTGCGGCTACACGAAGAGTGAAAACTTGACCAGATTGAGGAAGTGTTTGAAAGGTGATGCATTGGATTCTGTTCGTTGTATGATGATTTCTCCTGAGAGTGTGCCGGATGTCATGAAAACTTTGGAAGCTCGTTTTGGACAGTCCAGGCATATCGTCGCTTCTCTTATTCAAAAGGTTAAGAAAGTTCAACCTGTAAAAGAAGAGAAGTTAGAAAGTGTCATCGAATTTGGGACGGCGGTAGCAAATCTCATTTCGATTATCAAGGCGCTGGATCAGAAGGACCAGTTGCACAATCCAAGTCTGCTGCTCGAGTTGGAATCAAAATTATCAAGTGCTTTGAAGATGCAGTGGGGAACATGGATTATTGGAGATGGGCAGCGGAAACAAGATTTAATTCATTTCGCTGATTGGATTCAAGAGAAGACCAAAGTTGCTTATGCCATGTGTCCCGTGGAAGTAAAAGATGATAAGCAGTTTAACGGCAGATTCCAGCAGCAAAGAAATAAACAATCCGATGACGAGCGCATCTATTCTGCAGACACAAGTGAGGTCAAGAATCAGAAGTCAAGCTCAAAGAATTGTGTAATTTGTGATAAATCGGGTCATGTTCAACGAGATTGTTTCAAGTTTAAGAAGATGACAATTTCAGATCGCCGTCAAGAAGCCATGAAGAAACGGCTCTGCTATAATTGCCTTGGGATTAGGCATGATTCCAGAAATTGTCGTAGTTCGCAACAATGTGGTGTGGATGGGTGCAAATCTAAGCATCATTGTCTCCTACATATCAGCAGCAACAGACCAGTTGAAACCAAAGCAGAATCAACTTCAGAATCCGTTGAAAGTGTTCATTCCTTCGCCGAGCCATCATCATCCAAAACTGGAGGTCGTCGTGGAATACTTGGCATTGTGAAAGTAAAATTATCCGGCCCGAAAGGAACAACTGAAGTGTACGCATTAGTGGATCCAGGTTCAACAACTGGACTGATAGATGAGAAAGTTGCAAATCAAATTGGATTAAAGGGGCCGAGCATTTCAATCTGCATAAAAGGTGTCAAGTCAACTAGTGCAACAGTGAAATCAAGACTAGTTAATTTAAATATTGCTGGATGCTACGCTGGAGCGAAAACCTTCAAAATGGATTTTGTGAAGACTCTTCCTGATTTGGATTTGGGGCCGTTTTCTCTTAATGTTGAACAAATTCAAAATCGGAATAACCTGATGTGTGGATTGCCAATAAACTCCTACAACAATGTGAAGCCAATGCTATTGATTGGATCTGATCATACTTTCCTCACCGAACATTTGAAGATTGTGTCAGGCAAGCCAAATGAAGCCAGGGCGTACAAGTCACGGTTGGGTTGGTATGTGAGTGGGGCGACGTCAGGTGGGAAATATCAGGCAGAAAGTGTTCATCATGTGTGTGCTATTAATGACTTTCCTGTTTCACCTGATCAAGATGCAATGATGAACGACTTGATTAAACAAAGTTTCTCAACTGAGGATTTCGGAGTGAAGATTGTCAATGCGAAGCCAAGATCCAGAGAGGATGAAAGGGCGATGCAAATTATGGAAGTCACCACCAAGAAGATTCCCTCCGTGGACCGATACGAGACGGGACTTTTGTGGAAAACTGATCATGTTCAACTTCCTGATAGTTATCCAACAGCTTTAGGAAGACTTCGCTGCCAGGAGAGGAAGATGGACAAGGATCCTGTATTTGCAACAGCATATTGTAACAAGATCCAGGAATATGAAGATAAACAATTCATTCGTAAGCTGAGCGAAGAGGAATTGAATCTGACCAAAGAAGTTCAACCACTTTGGTACCTGCCTCACTTTGGAGTCATGAATCCTAACAAACCAGGGAAATTAAGGCTGGTGTTTGATGCTGCTGCGGAATCAAATGGAGTTAGTTTGAATAGTAACCTCGTCCAGGGTCCTGACCTCAATAATACAATTGTGTCTGTGCTACTGAAATTTCGCCAATATCAGTATGGATTCGCTGGTGATGTCAAAGACATGTTTCACCGTGTGATGATTCAGAAAAAGGATCGCACGGCTCAAAGATTTCTGTGGAGGGGACAAGATCGTGACAGGAAGCCAGACGTCTACGAATTGGAGGTCATGATGTTTGGTTCGTCCTGTTCACCCAGTTGTGCTCAGTTTGTAAAAAACAAGAATGCAAAGCAGTTCTCATCCGAAAATCCAGCAGCAGTAGAAGCAATAATATCCAAGTTTTATGTCGACGACTACTTGGATTCGAAAGCTACGAAGGGAGAAGCTTGCAAAATGATCCAAGATGTGATCGATATTCAGAAGAAAGCAAGTTTTGAGGTCTGCAACTGGGTTACCAATTCAGCGGAAGTCTTGAAATCTATTCCTGAGGAGCTTCGTGCCACCGACCTGAAGAATTTGGACTTTGATAATAATGAAATGCCCACGGGAAGACTGCTCGGCCTCTGGTGGAATCAAGAAAAGGATGTGATGACCTTCCGGTTGAACTTCTACAAAGTTCCGGAAGAAATTATTCAAGGTGAACGAAGACCAACGAAACGGGAAGTGCTAAAACTCGTGATGTCAATTTATGACCCTCTTGGCTTCGTGGCACATTACGTAATTCAAGGCAAGATTCTGCTGCAAGAGATTTGGAGATCGGGAATAGGGTTTGATGATACTCTCACCGACAATTTGGATATGAAGTGGAAACAATTTATTGAACAACTAAATAATTTGTGCAAAGTTGAACTTCCTCGTTGTTATTCATCATTAATACCGGAAGCAAGAGACATTCAGTTGCACATTTTCTGTGATGCTAGTGAAAAAGCATTTTCGTGTGTGGTATATTTACGAGTCACTCAAATTAATGCAAAAGAAGAGGATTTAGTGGAAGTAAATCTTGTGCTTGGGAAGACTCGCGTTTCACCAATGAAAACTCTCAGTATACCACGACTTGAGCTCCAGGCGGCAGTGATGGCAGTGCGGGTCGCGAAGACATTGAAAGAAGAATTGGAATTTACTGTCCATGAAACAATTTACTGGTCGGACTCCACTGTAGTTTTGTGTCAAATTAGAAATGGTGAAAGAAGATTCAAAACTTTTGTTGCTCATCGCATCGGAGAAATCCTGGAGACGTCCGATCCATCAGAGTGGCACTGGGTCCCTACAAAGGAAAACGTGGCTGACGACGCAACCCGTGACTCAGTGGAAGCAGAATTGTCGCCCACTAGTAGATGGTTCAACGGTCCAGCATTTTTGAAGTCCCCACGAAGTGAATGGCCGAGAGAGCTCACCAGAAAGAAATTAGAAGAAATTGATCCGGCTGAACTGGAATTAAAAGTTGAAGTTCATGTCGCCGAGGATGCAACGATAATTAGTGCACCTCAAATTTCTCTCGAGTTAGACCAATATGATGACCTTGATTTGCTGTTAAAGAATACAGTTTTGATCCAACGTGATAATGGTGATCAATCGGAGCCATCAGTTGCTGAATTAGTGGCAGCTAAGAAATATTGGATAATGCGGAGTCAACATGAAAGTTTCTCTGAGGATGTGAAAACCATGCAAGGGGGAAAGCCACTACCAAGGAAGAGTCAAATTTACAAATTGTCACCGTTCATGGAAGATGGATACTTGAAGATGAGAAGTCGTGTGTGTGACAATTCAACCTATCCCTTCATTCTTGACCCCAGGCACAAGTTCACGAGGCTGCTGATTGATGATCAACATCGTAAATGTGGGCATCAAGGACGTGAAACTGTTGCAAGCGAATTGAGGCAAGAATTTTGGATTTTGAGAATGGGGATGGCTATCAGGAAAGCATTTTGGGATTGCTTATTGTGTCGAAAGATGAGAGCAAAACCAGTTCAACCGGAAATGGGAGATCTTCCGCCTGTGCGATTGGAAAGGAATATTCATCCCTTCAAAAATACTGGATTGGACTATTTCGGCCCGTTCAACATCACTATTGGACGAAGAAGCGAGAAAAGATGGGGTGCATTGTTCACCTGCCTATCAACTCGGGCAGTACATCTTGAAATTGCTGGAAGTTTGTCAACCGATAGTGCTATCATGGCAATCATCCGTTTCAGCAGAAGAAGAGGGGCACCGGAAAATATCTATTGTGATAATGGGACAAACTTCCGGGGAGCTGCAAATGAGCTGAAACAGTTACTTGACGAATTGAATCAAGAAGAGATTCACCGGAAGTTAGCTCCACGTGGTGTGCAGTGGCATTTTTCTCCCCCAGCAGGACCGCACATGGGGGGAGTGTGGGAGCGGCTAGTAGGGTCAGTGAAGAAAGTGCTGAATGGGCTTCTCTGGCATACGACAACAAAGGAGGAAACAATTCACACATTGTTTACCGAAGTGGAATGGACATTAAATAGTCGACCACTCACTCATGTTTCTGTTGACCCTGCAGATCCACAACCAATAACTCCAAATCATTTCCTTATCGGATGGAGAAATGGTGCTCATTTCAACAGCAAGAATCCAGTGACCAGACTCCAATTCGGAGAATTTGATGATCATGACCTCAGTTGTCGCAAGCAGTGGAGACGAGCTCAACGGATGGCGGATGTCTTCTGGACTCGATGGACAAAGGAGTATCTTCCCACCTTGGCTAAAAGAAATAAGTGGAACAAGTCGGAACAATCTGTGGAAGTTGGGGACATTGTGGTCGTGGTGGATGATCAAGCTCCGAGGAACAGTTGGATGCAAGGACGAATCGAAGCAGTATTTCCTGGAAAGGATGGGGTCGTTCGTGTTGCTACTGTGAAGACCGATGATGGTCACACCTACCGAAGACCTGTGGTCAAGCTCTGCGTTCTCACCCGTTCAACCGATGAAGCAAAGTGAAAGTTTAGTGAAAGTGTAGTTATAAAACTGTGTTTTACTGGGGGGAGAATGTGGTGGAGCCCTTGGCATGATAATTATTTGTAAATTTCATGATTTATTTATTTATTTTATGTAGGATTATGTATGAAAATTAGTCTTAAATTTCCCCAATATTTGAGTGAAGGGGGGTAAAAACGTTGGGGGATTTTGTGTGTGGAAAGGAAGGCGAGCACGGTGTGTGCAGTTTTACTTGCGTGCCAGCATCAGAGTAGAGAAGGTGTGTTAGTTAAGTTTTGGTATGTTACCAGTAAAAATTAATTGTATTAATTCCCGTTAATTTGTGTTAATAAATTTGCTACGAAAGATAAACTCCAGTTCGTCATTACGCCTGTGGCACTGTTATTTCATAAGGATTTGGCAGATAGACAGCTTGGAGCAGATCATTTTAGGCAGTTATTGATAGGGAATTAAAATCGAAAGCTATTATGGACAGTTGGCGTTCGGTTCACCAAATTTGAGTGTGAATTTACAAAAGCTATAGTGAGAAATAACTAGCTAGGACGCCGCCCCATAATATAGACAGTGCAAAGTTTTCTGGTCAGAAACTCATATATTTAGAAAACTTTTCTTTTAAATTTTTTGCAATTTTTCAAAATCTTACAAAAGCTTTCTAAATTTTGAAAACTAAAATGCTGAAGCAGATTTAATGTGCATATTTATATGTTCATTAAAATTTCAACCGTAAAACACATATTTTTGGAAATTTCCATACGTTTTAAATGGACGTCAAATTCGGTCACCCATTTGAAAAAGGTTGCCATCTCGTTCCTTTTCAAGTAGCAGGCCAGCACCCCGTCGAAACTGACGTAATACGAGGGGATCAGAAATCCCAGCCAGAAAATATCCATGACCTCCAAATTTAAAAATTTGTCGTGAAGTTGGTACACATTATGCCCCGAATAAGCGAGAGATTGCGCAAGAAATACTGCCGTGCAAAATTTTTTTATCGAGGATTCCGTCACTGTTAAAAAATTCCTTTTAACGTCCCACGAAAAGGGGAATACTTGCGTCGCTTTATAAAATTTAATGGCGGGAGGAATAATTTCGAAAATCTTTGGAGAAAACATTGTCCTTTTTTCCTGGAGTGCAATGGGTTCGTAATGGTCATAAATGTAAGGCAGGATTAAATTCCCAGACTTTACTGCTAGATAATTTATTCGAAATGTCTGCATTGCTATATAGGGACTTCGTTACGCAATTATGGCAAGTACTGTAATTTAGATTTTTTGCAAGATTCGATTTTGTGTACCGCGTTATTTGTAGGAAATAGGAGTTACACTCTTAAAAATAGTGTCATCCTTTTGAAAAGCTAATGGACCCTGAACGCTATAAACCATGCAAACTTTACTAATTACAGAGTGGACTTTACTCTTTACCAAATTAACCTTAGTTGTAAGGTTAATCCAGGGTATACCCTGGATTTAGTATAATTTACTCAAAGAGTGGATTTACTTTTCGAAAATGTGACATTATTTTTAAGAGTTTAGATATGCGGTAAATTATTCTATTTTAACAGGATTAAAGATGGGTAAAATTAAGCGTCTTCATTATTCCAAGTATCACGCAATTTCGAGTAATTTTGTCGGCTTGAGTTCATGGAAATATGTATGTATGTACATAAAGTTTGGTTTATAAATACATATAATTCATGTCATGCTTCGCGTAAATATGTGTGTATGTACATAATTAGCATATTACATATTCAAACCCATTGAACTATTATATGCTAGTTGTAAAGACAATTTACTACTTATTATAATGTTTGGAATTTATCGCTCGATACATACGCAATTTTGTTAAGTATGCTTCTGCAATAGTTGCATAAGTATTAAGTGGCGCAGTTTTACTCAGAAAGTACCAATTTGGCAGATTGATCTCACTTTCCAAAATATACCAATATGGAAAACTCGCTTAGTCGAGGTTATAAATTGAGTAATCAAGTCTCGTAAACGGTATTATATATTTATCCGTAATTTTTGTTCCGTGACCCCAAATGATATCTGGGTTTTTTCTAAAGCTAATTTCAGGACCAATTTCTTATTCCGGATATGCAGCAACGCGATATTTTATGCATGCCATATTTCCCGTTGTTATGCCGGGTCCACATCATTTAGTAAATGATGCACTGGTAGAAATAATTGTACCCTTTTGAAAAGTGAAAGCAGTCGAAATTACATATTAAGTAACCTATGTTTGTATGCTAAATCCAGAGCATACTTCACTTTTTGTCAAGGTAATGTTACTTTCGGTTTAGTATATGTAGAAACGTTGAAATTCCTTTATACGATCGTTATGCCCGCCCGTTTGTCTGTCCGTTTTTCCGATAACTGTTGAACGAAAAGACATAGAAATCTAAAATTTTGAACGGAAACTCCTAACGTCAAGGGGCAGGACGAGTCCGAAAACGTGTGCACACTGCAAGTCACACACTTCAAGGTCGAAAATGGTCAGACGGTCGCCAAATATTAAACTTCATACCTACATTAATTTAATAGGAAATTTAACCCTTAATTCAATGGTGATTTCCAGTTTGACCTCAAAGTTCACGAAAAGTAACGAATAGATCATCAACTGTTAAATCTGCCTCGTGACACAAATGTCGAAGACACGTCAACGTGTCGATTTTAACAGATTTTAGAAAAGAATGCGTATGATCTTCACTTTGAAGTATGTATGACACATTTCCTTCACCCCTTGGTTACATGTGTTGTAATGGTTTATTTAATATTAAGTTCAGAGTAAATTTACAGAGTACTTTTTAGAAGGGTAACTTTATTTTTAGAAGAGGGAATATTCATAAAAAATACTTATGTAAAGTAGGTAAATTTCATATTAAAATACTGCATATCGGTATGCGAATAAGTAGGTTTTACATATGTACATATAACATACGTATATCCCAATTTATCCCCTTTTCTGGTGTGGAATGGGTTACCTGGTAATTGATACAAGGATAACGTGTTTTCTTTTTCTCATCGATTATTAGACTTGGAAATACACCTTTTTTAAGACTAAATGCTAAAACGTGGTAAGGTCCAATATACCTCTGGGTAATTGCCCTAATTGGTCATAATTGCGACAATTGTCGTTATTTACAGGAATCCGTCACACCACCAGCACGAGGAGTTGACAAAATATGTGTGGCTACATAGTTGCATATGTATTTCCGCAGTCAGAAATCAGAAGAAATTGTCAAATTTCGAGAATGAAAAAAGTATGTAATAGATTTGAGAGGGGTTAAGGGTCAACGCACCATATCCTTCCCATGTTAATTATAATATCGGGAGTAAATTTAGGTCAAACAGGGGGGGTTGGGATCAAAATTTTCAAAAAATCGATAGCATACTTTACGTACGGCCCCAAAGTATGTATGATATTTATGTAAATTTAATTTAGAATGCATTAGGCTACAAACTCACAACTGAGGAATACGAGCTTGATGAAAAATTTACCAAGCAATCGGTAAGGTGGGGATTACATGAGTAAGTAATACAAAACTTACGAGGAACGACCTTCAACATGCCCATCTAAGATCTCAAGATCTATGCCTTTTGCACACATATGTTGGAAGTTGGAGTACCTTATGAGTCTTCTTAAACGTTTACGGTTTGATTCCATGGCCTCATTTGCGCCCAACACCAACTCAAAGGTTGAAAACCCGCAGAAAAAATTATTTTCTATGTGCTCCAACTGTTGCAAAAAATCCCGTTTATATAGGTCAGGTTTTTATCAAATTTCCATTTGTATAAATCCAGGTCCCGGTGTTCTCATATTCCGCAGAGATCACAATATTTTGAATTTTTTCGAAAAATTTATCAGCACTTGAATGCTGTAAAACTTCAAATTGTGCTGGACAAGGGTTGCCGTTTTTATCCGACATTATCCTATCCGATCGGATAGGATAGGATGACGGATATCCGACACTTGTTATAACATGTATCCTATCCGAAGCTCGGATAGGATAATTATCCTATCCGACCCTCGGATATGATACATGTTGTAACAAGTGTCGGATAATCTCGGATTATCCGATCGGATAGGATAGGATAGGATCGGCAACCCTCTGGACAACGTTAACTTGGTAAAGAGTAAAGTATGGATTTTGCATAGTTTAGTTAACATGCAATTGAGACTACATTCACTTTTTCTTAAAGTAACAATTATTTCTACCTGAGAGTCATTAATTAAATTATGCGGACTCGGCTTAATGGCCGGGTTGGCATAATTCCGTTTATGAGACAATTTTCGACCTCGTCAAAGTGTGTTTTACATGTTGGCGTATTTTGCAAACTGATATCAACCTGGTAAATTGGAACTTTCTGTGGAAAATTGCACCACTTAATAGTTATGCAACTACATATATTACAGAAGCATACTTACCAAACACTTGGATTGTAAAGATTGTAATTAGTAATAAATTACCTTTTTAATTAACATAATTCAATAGTTTTCAATATGTTAATATGTTGTATACAGATATATGTACGTAAATATATACGAGCAGCATGATATGAATTATTTCTATTTATAATCCAAACTTTGAATATTTCCAAATCAATCTGACAAAATTACTCGAATTTTCGTGACATTTACAATACTACAATACGCTTAATTTTGTAAATTCTTAATCCTATTCAAACAAGGTAACTAACCGCATATCCAAACTCTTAAAAATAATGTCACCCTTTGTAAAAGTAAATATATTCTAAATATAATATAGTAAATATAGAGTGCATTTGCTTCTCAAAAGGATAACATTATTTTTAAGAGTGTAAATATTATTTCATGCAAATAACGCAGTTCACAAAATCCAATCTTGCAAAACATCTAAATTCCAGTATTTACCATAATTGGGTAACCATGTCCCTCGCAATGCAGACAGTTCGAATAAATTAACCTGGAGTAGAGACATAATTTAATCCTGTCTTATATTTAAGACCATACCTAACGCGCTCCAAGGACAAGACAATGTTTTCTCCAAAGATTTTTGAAATCATTCCTCCCGCCATAAAATTTAGCAGATCGACGCAAGTGTTCCCCTTGTCGTGGGACGTTAAAAAGAACCTTTTGGCAGTAACGACATCAAAAACAAACAAATTTTTCACACTAATATTTCTTGCGCAATCTCTCGTTTGCATGGCACATAATTTGTACCAACTTCACGACAAATTTTTAAATTTGGAGATCATGGAAATTTTTTGGTTGGGATTTATGGTCCCCTCGTATTACATCTGTTTCGACGGGGTGCTAGCCTGCTACTTGAAAAGGGACGAGATGACCACTTTTTTCAGATGGGTGACAGGATTTGATACCCATCTAAAACGTAAATTTTCGTACATATTTACTTTTATTTATGAAATTTTTCTATTTTCTCACTATTATACATTGCTCTGCTGCAGAAGTTATACATACATACATTCCAAAAATACCTAAAATAAAATATGCAGTACAATTCCATAGTTAATTTAATTAATTACGCTTAACAAGTATGGACATTTTAATTGTTTCGCTTTTGCTAAATTTTGTCCGCTGCGCTAACAAGCAAATATTACACATGAATTTCAGAAATGCCGTCTCGTCTTTCACAAAAGCGGAAAATACTTCACGAAAAGATCGCCATTTTCCTTGTTCGATACGGAATTTTCGCCACTGTCATTTTTACCCTACTTTTCATTTTGATCTACTTGATGAAACCTCGCTCTGCCCAGTATCTCTACAGCGCTTGGTCGAACAAAGGAAAATCCGACATGGTCAACATCACAGCTTTCTTGCTGTTTCTAACGTTTGAAGCGTTCACAAAGACCATCGGCATTGCGCAATACTTTTTGTTGCAAACGTGGTTTCTGTTTTCCGTGGCGTACACAACAATTGGAATTTCTACATTGAGGTAATGAAAAATAGATATTTCAAAATTTGTCAGAATGGTTTAAATAATAGATTCAAGTGTAAAGCCAAGTATTCAGGACGCGTTTTCTTGCGAAATGACAACTTCATTAAATTCTGCTTCATTTTTCGTTTGGGTGCAACTTTCAAGCGCATTCTTGTAATATATTATGCACTTTTTAAAATTTGGAAACCCAGACTACCTCGACTACCCTATTGCTAAAATTTTCTACCGCAAAACCCTCAAAACCCTGGGTGGCATACCCTGGACTCGAGCTCGCCCTGAGCGGACTTTAAGCAAACATCGTTTTGCACGTCAAGATCTGGAAGATGAAAGATCCGTCCAGAGTACATAGCTTATCCTAAGTATTACCAAATTACATGTTCTCTACGAAATATAATCTATCCAAAATACTTACATACATAAATAGCTAAATAGTCAACTAAACTGAATTCTTATCCGTAATTTTCAGTAACTCAACAAACCCCGTCAATAAACGTCTCATCTACTACCGCTGCCTCTACCTGATCAATTATCAGCACAACAATTGCTATATAGTAATCAATTCTTCGATGAAATACACGTTCAACGGTTTTTGCACAATTACCACGGGATACGTCATAACCCGACTTTTTGACAGGATCACTTTGCCAGAACAGATCGTCATCGTCGACATGTTTATTAACATAACGGCCACAACGTTTCTCTATTTGCACATTTCTGGCATGGTGTCGCACAAAAGTGGAGCACTTTGCGCTAAATTGGCAACTCTTGTGGACCTCTCACTTTCTCCGAGAAATAGAAAGTTACGAAACAGGGAAGTGAAATCAATCCGACCTTTCGGAATTCGCGTGGGAAATATTCGATCGATGAGCTATAACGCCTTGAATGACTACTTTGTCCAATCATCGAGTCTGTTTTTGACCTTGTTAGTCACATTTCCCGTAAGTGATGGAGGTCAGGTAGAAATTGAGTAAAACTGAAGAATGGGTAAAATTAAGTAAAATTAATTAACTGGATACAGATGTAAATAGGTACTTATCTTATTACTTTTTTTGTGAGTTTTTGAACTTTGAAAAACTACAAGGTAAAAATTAAGGATAGTGTAGTATCTAAAATTCCATTGACGTTTTACCAATACATATTTTTGATTTTTTGAAAATTTAAAAGTTAAGGCGCCACTATCGTTTTTCCTTGGGTGCTACATGCCTAGAACGGGACGTGTGCTTAGGTGCACACTTTTATCAGCTTGAGGTATTTGAGTCCTGCTCAGTGGCCGCGTAATCGGTCGGGACATTTGGGGACATTACCATTGTAGAATGAGGAAGGGAGAGGTTGAAATAACTGACCCGGGGAGATTATCCAGACTTCGAATACCCGTGGGGACTCCCTCCGTCCCACCACTTCCGCGGCCACTGGAGCGTTTGACTAAACGGAATCCAATCAGATATATTATCTGATTGATATGTACATAAATATGCAAAGGTCACACACGTGGACGTCGAATGAACATTCCATTTTGCTTGATAAGCAGCACTTGAGGATAAATTTAGTCATCCAATTTATTCCATATTTAAGCACTTGATTTGGTCCATATGTACATAAAGTTTCCTTAAAACTAAAATTAAATCATGAAGAATTTTTCTATCTTGATTCCATGCATCGTGTTTTTATAGGGGTTGGGTGTGGTTGCCTACATTCCGGGTGAAGGGGACGTTTTCGTCATGCAAAATATTGGGGATGGGGGTGGAGTAAGCAACAAATTTAAAAAATCGTAAAATTTTTGAATTGGCAAAAATTTTTACCTTATAAAGTTTGGCACGTGTTTAATTTTAGATCATTCGGCCCAGCGGGAACGGAAAAGTTTGTGAACGTCTAGGCGACGTTCGATCAAATTGGGGGTTGACTGCTCCATACGAAGATCGGTACAAGAGGACCGCTACAATTACCAATTTCAGTAAGCTTCTAATTTTATTTTGGATATTTGGACATTCGTATACTCTTAGAAATCTGGCATAGTCAGGCATGTATTAATTTCTCGGTTTTAAACTTCCTACCACTTCGTATTAAAATTATGTATACCGATCCATAAAAACTTGCTACCGATATGGTAAAACATTAATACCGAGCAATTACTACACGGTATTACAATCAATACCACTTTGTTAGAGCTATATATGAATACCGCGAGGTATTATTTTAATACTGGATTTCTAAGAGTATATTTCTGTCTCTGAAATCTAACTGAAAAATTGGCGAATTTTTGAATAACCTAATTTTGTGACGTACTTATGCATAACGCACGTGTTTTAATTAAATCTGCACAGCCGGCGTTGAATTGATGACGATTCACTCCTTCATCCGGGAAGAAGGTCACCTCGTCAATAAGATCATGTACGACGACTACCCGCCCTTTTGTTTCTTGGTGGAGCGGGAACTCGTCGTCATTCCGGACAGTGGATATTACATCGTGAAACATGAGAGAAGCAATAAATGCTTGACCTCGTACGGGTCAGAGGTTGGGATTTTATTTTGGCTGGATTGCGGCAACGTTGGACAGCATTGGTCCTTCATTCAAACAGAATGAGCGTACTTAATATAAATAACTTACTTACTCTTAAAAAGCTTGTATTGAAATACATAATATCAAGCGGTATACATACATTCATTTGTGACCATAAAAACAATGTTAGAAGGTTATATCCTTTGGTAATATTTAGCTCGGTACAAAATATTTGTCGTATCTATGTGTCACAACAAATTTTAATAACGGATATAATTTTAATAATATTTACCAACCGGTGGAAAAGTTACTATCGAGAAATTAATGCCAGATTTCGAAATGTTTACTATTCAGCAAATAAAAAATTGATTTTAGTTTAATCAAACTGAATGAAATGTTTTTATTACCCAAAATTCGAACTTCAAATTGGATTTAAAAATATATTTTAAAATCATATGCATACCCATGCATGAAAATTATACATATGTAAGAAACTAAAATGCTACATAGGTAACTCGTCCAATCTCATCTCATGATGAAATGAGATGGCTCATTTAACGCTTTGTACGTAATATTTGTTCTAAAATTCTTAGTGATTTTATAAACTAATGATGTATCCGAACATTATCTTAGGCGCCGTCCATAAATTACGTAACGCAAGAGGGGGGAGGGGGGTCTAGGGCTCCAATGATATCGTGCCTATGTTACGCATGTTAAAGGGGGGGAGGGGGGGTCTAGAAAATCGCGATTTTTGCGTTACGTAATTTATGGACGGCCCCTTATTAGTACTACACACCTTTTCTCACATAAAACTAGCTAAAATTTTAGCACAAAACACCAAGAAAAATGACTAATATTTTGTAATGAGTTGATCTCGTTAGCTCACAAAAACTCATCTCATCACAGCTCGTCTCATCCCATCTCACAAAGTTTTATCTGTCTCACGTGAGTTCTCATCTCATCTCAAACTCATCTTCATGTGAGTTGAGATGAGATTAACTCATCTCACCGGCAACCCTATACCAGCATATTGAAAATGTATCCAAACGAATTGCAAAGTGGCATGAAAACATTTTCATGAAACTTGCTACTATTGCATGGTGTCATTTTTCCATGCACATGAATTTGTAGATACGAGTTTTCTATTTGTGACGGCTACGCACTCTGTTACATGAAAAAGGAAAGTTGTATGCAATACAAAAAAGAGAATTGCATGTTTTTTAGCAGTGGTGGTGGTAATGTGTCAGCTGCTAGATACGTAACTCAGCAGCAAAAATTGTAAATAAATCTTAATTTATCTAGATTAGATCCAATTACAATTAATATAAAATCATATTAATTTTGTGTTTAAGTTTAAAGTTTGGTCGCCAAATATTTGATGGTGCAAGAAGTCAGATTTTACCCTCCAGGAAAGAAATAGATACATAAACGACAGATATCTGTGTTGTAAAATTTTGTAAAATTTAAAATTATTAAATACAATGTCCTTAGAAATGGGGCCGATAAAACGAAAGAAACGTGGAAAACTGGCCCGTTTACAAAATTTAGATGTGCCCAAGTTGGGATATACGTGTCCCATTTGTTCCCAACAATTTGAGGACAATGAACTTCTGATAAATCATGTCGAACTCCATGAAGAAATTTGGACCTCGAGAGACGGAGGAGATCTCGTAACAGCGAATAAAATTATGACGTAAGTTAATTGCATAATTTGCATTTCATTGTGGGGACGATTTTTTGCGAGGTTTGCGTAATATTTATTTACGCAGTTTTAGCATAATTTGCACACTTCTTACAGTCTAAATTGTGAAAATTCAAGTTTACTACAAGAACATTAAGCAATTCGAGATTATCATCAGTTTTGTAAGGTTACTTAAGTTTACAACGGTTAAATGTTTTCCTAATTTGTTTGCATACGTATTTATTTTTGCAAAGTTTACGGCGAACTTGATTAAACTGTATTATGTATGTAGAATTACGTTTTGTAGAATTTATGCCACTTACTATTTCCTAAACATTGCAAAGTTTCCAAATATTGACGAATTTTACTTTCTCTTTTTTCAGGATGCTGCAGACATCACAAAATTTAGTTAACCGTCGGTCTCCGATAGGGTTAAGTGATACGTCATTTTGTTCAGTTCGACGAGCTGAACAAGAATATCGAAACCCGAATGCGCGGAAACGCTCCGTTCAAAAGTTATGGCGGGTCAAAGTTTGAAATTTTTATTGCATTTTTGGACGTTTCAGAGAATTCTACGACTTTGTCTCCCTTTGCCCCAAAGCGGGAAATTTTTTGGGGTATATTGAGATTTTGGGGTAAGGTGAGATTTTTAGTTTTTATTCCAGAATATTGAATTACAATCATTTTACGGCACGGCGGGAGGGGTTTCGGGGTACTTTGAGACTTTTGGGGTTATTTCCTATCCAATTCCCCAATTCTAGGCAGCACGTCTAGGTAGCACTTCTAGATAGCTACCCCAGGTAGCACTTCTAGGTAGCTCTTCTAGGTAGCACTTCTAGGTAGCTCTTCTAGGTAGCTCTTCTAGGTAGCACTTCTAGGTAGCTCTTCTAGGTAGCTCTTCTAGGTAGCACTTTTACGTAGCTCTTCTAGGTAGCACTTCTAGGTAGCTCTTCTAGGTAGCTCTTCTAGGTAGCACTTTTACGTAGCTCTTCTAGGTAGCACTTCTAGGTAGCACTGCTAGGTAGCACTTTTATGTAGCTCTTCTAGGTAGCACTTCTAGGTAGCTCTTCTAGGTAGCACTTCTAGGTAGCACTGCTAGGTAGCACTTTTATGTAGCTCTTCTAGGTAGCACTTCTAGGTAGCTCTTCTAGGTAGCTCTTCTAGGTAGCACTTCTAGGTAGCTCTTCTAGGTAGCACTTTTACGTAGCTCTTCTAGGTAGCACTTCTAGGTAGCACTTCTAGGTAGCTCTTCTACGTAGCTCTTCTAGGTAGCTCTACTAGGTAGCTCTTCTAGGTAACACTTTTAGGTAGCTCTCCTAGGTAGCACTTTCCGCGTATTCAATCTAACCTAACCTGCTCGCTTCGCTCGCTAAAATTCGAACAATACCCCAATATTCGACATAATTACTACCAGTGCGGGGCTCCCGCTTTCGCATTTTCCAGGTTCGCTTCGCTCGCGGTAGCCATGTGAGGGCCCCCGTTTTGCCACGTTTTGCCACAATCTCACGTTACCCCGAAAATCTCATCTTACCCCAAAAATGTCCTGCCATGTCGGAAATTGATTGAAATTTAATATTCTGCAATAAAAACTAAAAATCTCACGTTACCCCTAAAATCTCAATATACCCCAAAAAATTTCCCGCTTTGGGGCAAAGTGAGACAAAGTCGTAGAATTCTCTGAAACATCGAAAAATGCAATAAAAATTTCAAACTTTGTCCCGCCATAACTTTTGAACGGGACATTTCCGCGCCTTCTGGCTTCGATATTCTTGTTCAGCTCGCCGAGACGAACAAAATGACGTATCACTTAACCCTATCGGAGACCGACGGTTAACTAAAGTCTAGCCCAAGGCTACATTTGTCCCCTGTGTTTAAGAGAATATACCAAAAACTACCGAAATCTTGGTAAGTTTAAGATACATTTGCAACGAGGTCATCCAAAACCGAAGCCGTGTTTAACTTGTGGGATCAGTTTTTGGAGAGAATTCAATTTAGTGAATCATTCGAACGTTTGGTGAGACAATTTCATAATGAAATATCTACTTTGTTTAGTGTAGAGAGGTTAATATTAATTTTGCCTGTTTCATTAGCTGTGGAAAATTGGATGACGAAGAACGGTAAGCTTGATGGCATTTTAATATGATAACGTTGCTTATGGCTAATAGATAATTTCAATTTACCGTGTCGTTAAACAAGGTTTCGACCGATGTGAAATTTTAGAATTTCGTAATTTTAAAAATTTGGTCTTGTAAGCGTTTACAGTTGAAAAAAACATCTGCAAGAAATCAAGAAATGCCTGCCAGAAATGTTTTTTCACACATAACGACCTGCAAAAATTACAAAAAATAAGCGCCATCAAGCGGAAAATCCCTGTAATTAAGTGCACAACAAAATGTCAGACACCTTTTCCCTGTATCTCTTTGCATTTTTCATGGTTTGCACTTTTTTGCAGTTCGTGCAAAAAAAACGGTCGTGGAGAGATTAATATTCGCCAAGATTTTTTTAATCCTTAGATTGTGAGAGAATATCATATGCAGTGGTGAAAAGAGTGAGACGCTCCATCGGATATCGAGAGGTTCGGGGTTCAATACCCTGACCGGCCCTTCTATATTTTTTGCACACTCGTCTTCCTCCGACCAACATATTTTTGCTCACAAGATGAAACATAATTTAAATTTCATGATTGTTTGAGAACAAACCCTCCTTATTTAGCGACACGTTATATTCTAATTTTGATAAATTTTTTAACTGCATTTTGTAAATTCCAGCCACAAAAGCGTACGCGGTATATGCGCTGTTCCTACAATTTTATCAATGTGTACGACGTCCAACGTTTCTACGGAACCGAGCAACCCCGTCCAGGGAGAGGTACCCAGGTCCGAAAATACTGGTCAACTCGAAGATTTTCTCCATCCTGAGGGGAGCAGCGTAGCGGATTCTCAGACGACGCAGAAAGTGCTTTACATGTAAGATTGTCAAGTTAAATATGAGTATTCACTTTTGTAAATATGCTAAATTTACATATACGGTTTTGCTATTTTTAGCAAAACCGTACAAATTTGGCATAAAGAAATAACACTCTTAAGAATAATGTTACCATTTTGGAAAGTAAATCCACTCGATATTAAGTAACTCATACTAAATTCAAACTTTACTGTTTATCAAGTTAACGTTACACTGGCTTTAGTTTTTCTTAATCGCTATTTTATTGCATGAAAATTAGTGAAATAGCGTATCACAGACTTAAAAAATTACAGAAAACTTTGTTGAAAAACTGACTGGATTTTTAGTATGGTTTGCTTAATATCGAATTTAGGGTGCATTTACTTTTCAAAATGGTAACATTATTACATGACATTGTTTTTTCTATTTTTATTTAGTGGTGGACCCTGTCCCAAACCACTAACTGCATCGACGCACAATCAGCCTGAGTGGATCGGAACTACGCAATATGTTTTGGAGCCGGGTGAAGTTCCAATGAGTTCGAGCTTAGTTTGGCCATTGTTCACTTCGTAATGATAAAGTGTATTTAACATTCCCAATCAAGTTAGTCGTTTAGTCTTAAGAAATATGTCAAAGCAAAACCCGAATTTCTAACCGAGCCGAAAATTTTACGAGTCACGCAGCTATTTTTTATTTTTTACTTATCCAATAATATGTAACTTAAGTACATATGTAACGTTTCTTACATATTTTTGTAAATCATTATTGATGCTTTGTTCTGCTAATTACTGTACTTAGCAAATTAATAAATATTTACATGTATGCACCTGATAAGCTGAAATTTTGTGTTATATGTACAAATATGTTACATACATGTACAATTGTATCCTGGGAACTTATACAACCCTCTGCAACTTTGCAACATTCATAAATTTTGCAAAATAATTTTACAAACTTTTATAAAACAAATGGACGTTTTATTTGATCTGAGTAAGTTTAGAATAATTTGTAAACTATGTAACTTTCCTTGGGAATATTTACATTGATAAATTTACAGGTTTTACAAAGCGTTAATAAGTATGTACATATGTCCATGGCTTCTTCATGCTTTTATAAAATTCAAATATTACATATTCTCATATTCATTTTCCTCAAGTTTTTAAAGAATCATATCCCAGTTTCAAAAACCATCCTAAAAATGCAAACTCTTCGTATCAATCGATAATGTCGCAGTCATCGTGTAATCTATCACTGCCCCAAAATACGTCGATTTCGTCGACTTCTTACACTTGTAAAAATTATAACTATTAATTCCCCCGTAAAGCGCGATCACCTGTATCGAGCGTAACTTTTTCCTTAAATACTTCGCATCATTCTTCACCCCCACCATTCCCCTCCTCCACGTGGCATGGATTTCCTTACAATCTTGATAAATCTTAGTGCACAACGGTACCATAATTTCCATCCCGACCAAAACAATTCCCGCAATCAGTGGAGCGTACACATAGATCGAGGTATCCACGAAAGGGTACATTTTAAGCGAAATAAAATTAAAAACGACGCTAAACCAGGGACAAGTAAATTGACCCGTGGCAATCGCGAGGGTTACGAAATCGTACCCTATTCCGAAAACTAGTTGGCAGGAGGCATAGTTGAGCAAATGGGTGTCAATGGAGGCCCTATTTTTCCAAGTTTCCCGCGAACTGGCGGCCTTATCCAGAGCGGAAATGCAGCCTAGCGCGAGATGTGTGGCTATAATTGTGGTCGAAACTATGAAGACGGAGATCCGGGCGACTTGAGAAATCGGGATCCACATCGTGACCCGGAAAAGGTGAAGGAGGAATTTGACGGGTAGTGAGACTGGATCGGGGAGGATGGATTCTAATTGGTAGTACGGGTCGAGGCGGTAGATTAGAACGACGCAGATGTAGAGAATGAAGCCCTGAGCAATGATCAGGTCGATAAGTTTGTTTCGAGCGATTCCTTTCCAGTCTGGGGATGGGGGGAGGGTCGAGGGAAATTTGAGGCTGAAAATTATCCAAATTTTAGTACAAAGAAACGTTTACTAAATACAGGCTCGTTTACTAAATACAGGCTCGTTTACTACAATTAATCGCTTGCAATACTAAGGGTTTGATATCGAGAGAACGCTACATTCCAAAGTTGAAATCGATATACATACAGTCAATAAAAGAAGTATTCGTAACCCAAGCATAGGGTTCAGGACGGAAGCCCTAACTTTCTCATGCGATCTTCAATGTTCATGAAAATTTGAACAGATACCACTAATCGCATCTAGTTACAGATTCCGTTCTCATTTTAAAGTTAAATTCGCAGGTAGCAACACTGTTGCTCGATTTTCACCGAAAGGTGAATTTTCAACATCAAAAAAGTATTCGTACCCTTGAAATTTATAATTCCTCCTGGTTCCGGTTTGGATAAATTTATTCAAATACTCAATTTTATCATATCGGGCAACTCAATACCTACACACATAAAAAGTTTCGAAAAGTTAACTGATCAGCTTGGCTGGGAAAATGAGATTTTTTACGAAATGTGGCATATCCTTGGGAAATGAGCCCCGGATGTACATAGATAATTCAAAAATCAGAAGTATTATCAGATTCTAGTTACATAATCATCAAGAGACTTGTTGAAACAGAAATTGCTCAAATTCGATGCAGAAATGTGTCATGTAATTAATTTAAGCCTGCACGCCAAGCCCTCCAACATGGGGGAGGAAGTGCAGTATGTCCTTCCAAAAATCGAAAAAAATATTTCGAACATTTTCTTTGTTCTGATGCATGACTCAACTCAAAACCTACCGGTTTTAACCAAAAACAAACTTCGGTTATCAAAAGTAGCTGACAAGTTAAGCCGAGCTTAATGATACGTACGAATATATTTCAAACGCCAACAACACAAAAACAATGGGAGGGAATGTATGTGACTTGGAAAGTTGTGTTTTGCTGATTTGACCAGAATCAAATTATTTGTTTCATATGAAAGTAATTTAGTCTAGAATAGGCTTCATAGTGCATGCAAAGGGTCAAATATAGCCCAACTACTAAAATAATAAAATGATATACTAAATTTTTAATTTCACAAGTTCTTCTACAGCTTAAATGATTCCGGATTTTAATTATCGGAACGTGCTATTGGTTAAAACCGGTAGGTTTTGAGTTGAGTCATGCATCAGAACAAAGAAAATGTTCGAAATATTTTTTTCGATTTTTGGAAGGACATACTGCACTTCCTCCCCCATGTTGGAGGGCTTGGCGTGCAGGCTTAAATTAATTGCATGACACATTTCTGCATCGAATTTGAGCAATTTCTGTTTCAACAAGTCTCTTGATGATTATGTAACTAGAATCTGATAATACTTCTGATTTTTGAATTATCTATGTACATCCAGGGCTCATTTCCCAAGGATATGCCACATTTCGTAAAAAATCTCATTTTCCCAGCCAAGCTGATCAGTTAACTTTTCGAAACTTTTTATGTGTGTAGGTATTGAGTTGCCCGATATGATAAAATTGAGTATTTGAATAAATTTATCCAAACCGGAACCAGGAGGAATTATAAATTTCAAGGGTACGAATACTTTTTTGATGTTGAAAATTCACCTTTCGGTGAAAATCGAGCAACAGTGTTGCTACCTGCGAATTTAACTTTAAAATGAGAACGGAATCTGTAACTAGATGCGATTAGTGGTATCTGTTCAAATTTTCATGAACATTGAAGATCGCATGAGAAAGTTAGGGCTTCCGTCCTGAACCCTATGCTTGGGTTACGAATACTTCTTTTACTGACTGTACATAATCTGCGAAATTTGCTTACACAGTTCTCGTTCCATCTTGGCAATACAGTTGAATGCATACGTCCCATTTTTATCAAATTTGCAAACCAACACTTCCAGGAGGAAACCAAACGTTGAAGACAACAGCCACCCCAACGTTCCTAGCGTTACGAGCAATGAGACCTGCACAAATCCAAACAGCTTCCCCAGAAGGAGACATAACGACGCGGTGTTTAGCATGTTCAGGAATACGAATACAGAAATCATCCAAGAAATAAGTTCCTTCGAAATTGGTGTGATAACCAATTTTTTCTGGGCGACGTCCCAATCTACAGGGCACGTCCACAGAAGGCTAAAATAGGACTTGAAACGATTCAAGGGCTTCTACATTAGTGGGGTCACACCCATGATGAAAATAACCAAATAATTAAATTTAAAATACGGCCAGGACGAATAAACTGATTAAAAAATACTTGAGAAAATTTTAAAACCGAAATCTACTTAACTTGACGTAGGTTTTAATTCAATTGACTTTGCAATTGTGTGCGTGCATCAATAAACCAACTGTGAAGGACATTTGGTTACGGGGAGAATTAAATGTTATTCATTTATTGGCATTTGAAACCCGTAACTTGGGATGTACACAAGTCGCAAGGTTGTAAGATCGAATTAAATTATAGGACTGTATATGTATACACAGCATTTGTCAGTCATCATAACCAGGGGAACCATTTATCTGCTAATCATACTCATGGTTACATACATACATTTAGAGAGATAAATAATAATTAGTAAGTGAAACTAAATATGTCGGATAATTTTGATAACTGATGGTCTCATCCGTTAGGCAGTACATAGTATAGATATTCTGATTAGCGAACAGCACGTGGCGAAGACTAAATATATGGTATATTTCAAAACATATATTTATTAACAATATGCCAATTTTCGAATAAATTAAATGAAACTTACATTTTTCAGTTAAAAATGATTTAAGTGAATGCTAAAAAACGAAAAATTTTAATGCAATATGCACACATATGTACCGTACTTACATATACATAGTTATTTCTGAATTTATCCTATGATCGTATATTTATCTTATTCAGTAATTTTCTTCATATTAATGTAAGTTTAAAGCGTTTCATAAATAGCTAAAGTCACTAAGCGTCTAATCCATTTTAATCTAATTGATTAAAGGTGTTCATTATTTGCTCGTATGATTGCTACCGTAAAATACTTTACGAGGTAAAAACCAAGGGATCAAGCTTCATAAATTGCGATCCCCTTGTAACGCGATTTTCGTCATCATATAACAATGTCAAAATCATAGATCTATGTCAAAATTATACAACGTCCAAAGAATCTTTTAACTGTCGTAAGATACGAATTGTAAGATAAATAATTAGTACGATTACATAGAATACCATAAGAATACAAAGGATATGAAGGAATCATGCTGATGAATAGTCTTGATATTCTTCTATCGCGGATTTTGGATTTATCCCACTAAATTTCAGAGTTCCACTAATTCATCGCTCCAAATAATTCAAACTCCTCGTCAAATCAATCGATAACGTTGCGGTGATCGTGTAACTAATCACTGCGGAAAAGTATGCCGATATCATGGACCTTGTACACTTGTACAAATTGTAACCATTAATTCCTCCATAAAGCGCGATCACCTGTATCGAACGCAACTTTCTCCTCAAATATTTCACATCATTCTTCACCCCCACCATGCCGTTCCTCCACGTGGCATGGATTTCCTTAGAATTTTCATAAATGTCCGTGCACAACGGTAACATCATTACCATCGCGGCTGCAATAATTCCCGCGATCAGGGGAGCATGCAAGTAGATCGAGATATACTAAAAATGATGCGTTTTCAGCGAAATAAAATTAAAAAGGACGCTAAACCAGAGACAAGTAAATTGACACGTGGCAAGTGCGGGAGTTACGAAATCGTACCCTATCCCGAAAACTAGTTGGCAGGAGGCATAGTTGAGCAAGTGGGTGGCAATGGACTCACTGTTTTTCCA